AAAGTTTTTATCTAAATTTATAGTATTCACTATATATAAAATTTAATTGAATCTGAAACATTAAATTTTAATTTCTATATTATAACAACTTAATTTGTTTATTAACGATAAATAGGTTGATAATCTAATAAATACAAAATGTAAAGTTGATATTTAATTTAATAAAAAAAATTAAATACAACTTATTAGATATAAAATTAATAGTTTAAAAGTGGTAAGAAAGATTTGTGGAGCCATGACTCACCGCTCGCTTGGGGAGACCCACAACCCAGCTTATCAAGCAGTACACCACCCCAACCAACAAATGGATCACGGATACAAAACTGCCACGTAGACAAAAACTCGAAACATTAATAACGAAAAAAACAGAATAAATTAAAATACAATTGAAAAGGAAAAGAAAGTTTTTCACTTTCCGGTAAATAATACACGTACTAAGGATAGGGGAAGTAATTATAGATCTTCTTGTTGAGGATATTGAAAATCACGTTCAAAAAGTACCTGCAATTACAACACAAAAAGGGCAGCACAGTAATTTCGCAAACACCCAGCTCAAAGCAACCACAATTATAACTACGATTTACAGCCGGCATCCACCGTGCAAAACACGTGACCTACACTATCCCTACCCCCAAAACCTACCACATGAAGAAGAAGAATCCGGTGACCAACGCCGGATACTTCTCGAAGAAACCAGCCGGGGTAACTTTCGCCTCCCTGCAACATTAAAGTAGAATGAGTTGAAAGCTGAATCTCGGATCCGATCCGGTCCAAAACGGAGGAAACGAACCTCACCCGGCAGAATCGCTACCTCCCGCGGGAGAAGAGGAGGCTGCGGCATAGGTAGGCCGAACTGTCTCCCGTTTGGCCGAGAGGTTATCAAGAAGCAGAGACGGTCGCAATTGGCGTCCCCAAATCAAGTTGGCTCCCTCGGCGATGGGCCTGGTGTGGACGAAGGCGACGTGGTTGTTGGTGGTGGTGGAATCTCTGTGCAACTTGCGGAGACTGGGAATGCCGCCAGCGAAGTAAGTGGCGCGTGAGAGCAACTGCGACGCCATAAGTAGAAGAGAGAAACAAAGACAGAGAGGAAGGGAAAGAGAGAGGCAAATGTGGTTTCGTCGGCTACGGCGAGGATATATTGTGGAGGGCTTATCGCGAACAAATTTCTGGCGGTAATTCCTTGTGATTGGGTGCGTGAAGGAGTAGAGTAGGGATAGTGCAACCGCTTGTTGGGACGGTTGGTATAGTGGGAGGGTGAGGTGGCGGAAGATGGGATAATGGAGGAGAGAGGGTATTGGATAGTATGTGGATTGGAGTGGGGTCCAGTTATCGGGAGAGAGGGCGAATGAGAGATGGGGAAGGAGCTGAGGTGTCGAATTCTGAAGCCGTTGGTGTGTGTTCAGATATCTCCTTATCGTTACCGAAAAAGAAGTCGGGTCCTTTTGGAGCTCCGATCCAGTATAGAAATCACGGATTCACTTCGGATCTCGCTGCCTGACCCGAACCCGAACCCAACCCAACCCAATAATTTTATTTTATTTTTTATATTTTTAGTAACATATTACATATGTGTTCAAAATCTTTTACTATGCATCAGTTTTTAGTTTAATTTAATTTTTCTTTTTATAATTTTATAACTCCATTTACAAATTTGAATATCGAATGTATGTATAAAAATCACATTAAAATAATAAAAAATAGAGAATTTGATGAATGATCCAATCCACACCTTGTTGTTTACGACCGAACCTCAATAGATGTTTACCATCTTTTTCATTATATTTAACATGTGGCGAGAATTAGGGCGAGATTACAACATTTTATTATAACAATAGTTCTTAGACTACTCTGCAGCATGATAGGTACACAAATGTCTAAAATACTCGAACATTACTCTCTAAGATCACCGGTGATCAAATTAAAGCATCATAGTGTATGTGGCTTAGTACCACACTGATAAAGAATAGAAACGAAAGAAAAGAAAACGTTGAGGAGGAGGCTTTTATGAATTGATAGACCACACGGCATTTAATCAATAGACGGTTGAAAACTCACCGAATCTAGGTTTCGTGTGAAATTAATTAAATTGAAAGTGGTGCATGGTTAGGGTTGAACACATGGCCAAAATTGGGACATTTACAAAAATGAAAGGTATAAAGTTTTGTAACCAACAACTAATTGTCTATTACTTAGCTTAAACGTATGTGTCTTTTCAAACAATAAAGAAGGGAAGGAGTAGAACGCATCTGCCAGCATCTTTAATTTTTTGACCAACGCATTAAAGTTGGGATCAATATTTTTCTTGGTCAGTTAACTATTGAAGTAATTATTTTATTTGATTGATTATGAAACCATGCATCTGTCCATTGTCAGTTTCCAAGGAACCCTTTATCTGAATTGATGAAATCGAGAGATATCGAAATGATTACAAAAGAAAGAAAAGAAAATAATTATGGTACCACAAGAAGTATTGGCGAAACGGAATAACAGCGAATCACAGAGCAACTCCGACACTAATCAGCAGAGATTGGGAAGCCAATTCCATGGCGTCTGGTTGGAAAAAGAACAAACAACATGCTACAAACCACGCCAATCCCAACTGGCAAAGACGTCAAAATCTCCTTAGCCGCATTGGACGGCGATGGGTAAAAACAGTTCACCACATTCTCATCAAACAGAGCAACCGCGCAAAAAACCAGAATCGACATGAAAGCGTGCAAGAAATCAATAAATCTCAGCCGATATTTAGCCGCCGCCACGGCCGGAAGCTCCACCGAGCCGTCGATGACCCAGAGCCCTCTGGAAGTGGCGAATCCATAGCAAACATTCCCCTGACTGTCTCTGAAACTATCGGTAAAACTCATAAGAAAACAGGACAATCCACAGAAACCCACGAGGGTAGAGGCGAGGTAGCGAGAAACGGAGTCGCAGTTGCCTTCATTGGTGAAAATGGGGGAAAGTAGTTGAAATGCGAGGACGGTTCCAGTGGGTAAGAGATTGGCCAAATGGGCAGTGCCCTGAAACGTCTGGGAGATGGCTTTTTGAATGGGAGTTTTTTTATCTCTGGAAGGGATGGATGTTGTTTCTCGCAAAAGGGGGCGTTTCTGTTCGTTTCTGATCTGGGTATCTTCGTCGACTGCTTTGATCTCCATGGGTGGGGTTGAAATGACTTCGGAAGGTTGGAGTGTATTAATAATACGAAGTGGTGGGAGATGAGTGGAAGCAAAGGGAGGGTAGTGATGCCTTGAAAGCAATTGCGTAAGACTTGGGGGAAGGAATTTCGTTGCTTGACTCGAGTGTTCATGTTGAGACACATAGATGAGGGAGGGATGGGAGAATTATAATATTTTTTGTATTTGCAAATGAACTCGAGTGTTCATGTTGAATCGCTTTGTTAGGTATTGGGATCGTTAAAACTTGGAAGAAATGAGAACTAAAAAGGAGGACATTATTCAATTTGGTTTTGTTACATTACGGAAGGTATTGGATCAACAAATTTGTTCTTTAAATGATGAGTTTGTCAATGATGCCTCTCCCAAAGTCAAATCATTTTGTCCTCCCTCAGCTTTCTTTAATTAGATATTCCTCCAATCCTTTTTTTTTTTTTTTAATCATGTGTTTATAAACCAATAATGTTCTCTGAATCAAACACATGAGAGCTTATACTCAAATTGGACAATATCATACCATTGTGTAGAGGCGTGTTCGTCTAACATCATTTCATTCTTTAATAAAGTTACTATTCCTCCACGTGGGAGTCTTTTTTTTTATATATAAATAGATATTTTGTAACTTTTCATTAAAAAGAGGACTTTCAAACTTTTAATAAAGGGGTTTTATCTTCCCTTCCATAAATAACTAAAATTGCACTAGAAATTCCAATAAATAAAAAAATAATTCATTAAATTTTCAATTTATGGAACTAACTTTTCATTGACTTGCGATGTCATTTTCTTGTTCCCGAATGGTCTTCTTCAATTCTTTTAGGTTTATGCTCTACTCCGAGTAAAGATCTTGCACATACAGATCGTTTATCTGGGACTTTCATCATCCAACACCTCCCCTCGAACAACAAAGCACGCCTCCCCTTAATCGAGGCTCGACTCCTTTGGGCTAAGTTTAGGGCATGGCTCTGATACCAACAAAGCACGCCTCCCCTTAATCGAGGCTCGACTCCTTTGGGCTAAGTTTAGGGCATGGCTCTGATACCATGTTAGACGAACACGACTCTCCACAATGGTATGATATTGTCCACTTTGAGCATAAGCTCTCATGGCTTTGCTTTGGGCTTCTAAAAGGCCTCATACCAATGGAGAGTGTATTCTTAGATTATAAACCCATTACCATTTCCTAAATTAACCGATGTGGGACTTTCATCATCCAACAGGAATATTCAAATGTTTATAATTAATTCTCATAAATCAAATTGTGTTTCAGTTGGTTTCTTGGTCTTTCTAAATCAAAATTGTTTCAGAGGGCAATTGGGAATTGATATTTGCATTTAACTTTACCATTAAAAAAATGATTTTACAAGAATAATATCACATATTTTATGGTGTCTACCCAGCCTAACATCATTGACTTAGTCAGCTCCACATCAAAATCATGTCTTTTAGCTAAGCTAGGACAGGAAGGGTTAATTATGTCATCGTCAACCTTTAAAAATGAGTGGGGTTCAGTTAAGAAACTTACTTACTCTTTAATCTTTAATTAATTATCAAATTTGATTAAATTATAAGAATAAAACGTTTAATTTAATTTAACTTTAGAAAAAAAGAGGCATGGGTGAGGTGACGTAGGAGCTTTGTTTTGTCCGCCGACATTGTGAGCCTTAGCGCAGAAGTTTGTTGAAGAGCATTTGGATATAGAAAGTCAAAGTCAAACCGGAATTTGATGTTGGGAAAATGCTTAGAAGGCGAATTTTAACTTGTTGGGCAAGGAAGGGTTTTGGTGATAATGCATTCGTGTTCATTGAAGTGTGTCGGTTTAATTCCTTGTATATAAAGATATATAGAAAGGGTGGAACGGAAACTGGATAGTAGAATCGGAATTGACACTCGAGTCTGGAGATAAAATGAATTGGTTAAACCCTAATGAGGGAGGATTGCGCGATGCATTTCCGTCTATAATTTGCCCATCCTGTGCCCATCCCATTCGATTCCAACGTCAGGTACGGCTACTGAATTGGCTTCTTCTTCCAAATTACAAACCAAATGGAACTCGGAGATTTGAGATGCGTTGTGGTGTGTGTGTGTGTGTGTGTGTGTGTGTCAGGGTGGATTCGAAGGCTGGGGGAGGCTTCCGGCGGGAGTGAAGTTCGATCCAAGCGACCAACAGATTCTGGAGCATTTGGACGCCAAAGTTAAACACGATAAGCGAAAGCTTCATCCACTTCTCGATGAATTCATCCTCACTTTAGACGGTGAAGATGGCATTTGTTACACCCACCCTCAAAATCTCCCTGGTAATTTCTTCTTTAAAAATCTTTTCAACAAATTCAAAATTTCTACTAAATAATTTATTATTCCTCCTATTTTCAAACAATAGTTCTTATTTTCACTATATTTTCGTTTTTCAAAAAATTCAACTCAACCCAAATCGAAAAAAAGAGAGAATCTTATCCAACTTTTATCACTTGAGTTAGATAATCTAAGTTGATTGGATTATTGGGTCATGTGTACGTTCTTTCTTTGTTCATCCTCATAAGTTGGAAGTTGTTGGTTTCAATATGATTAAAAAAAATGTTTGGAAGAAATGGTTTTAAATATATTTTTCATGAACCTAAAAAAAATACAAAATACAAAAACGGAAGTTTGGGACAAAATCAAATTGGGTAGACTTTCAAGTTAATTTATAAGGTTTTTGGCGTCCAAAAGAATGCCTTTTTCGTAATGCAATATGATGCATAAAATAAAATAAAAACGTGAGCCCCACCTTTAAGGAATATATGTTTGAAGGAATGCGTCATCCTGAATATTGAATATATAAGAATGATATTAAGATTTGATGTCATAGCAACCGTCAATTGTTATAGAATAGTGCAGTGGGCAGAAAATAAATTTTAAAATGCATTTTTAGATGAAAATTGAAATCCTTGGTGTCGTGAAGTGCAGGTATGAGAAAAGACGGGGAAATCCGGCACTTTTTTCATCGCCCGTCCAAAGCGTACACTGCCGGCTCCAGGAAACGCAGGAAGGTTCAAACAGACAAAGAAGGCACTGACACAAGATGGCACAAAACCGGCAAGACAAGGCCAATCATTGGCGCCGACGGTGGCGTTGTGATGGGTTTCAAGAAGATTTTAGTTTTGTATTCAAATTATGGGAGTGAAAGGAAGCCGCAAAAGACGAACTGGATAATGCATCAGTATCATCTGGGTGTTACCGAGCACGAGAAAGACGGCCAATTGGTAGCTTCTAAGGTCTTCTTTCAGAAACAGCCTCGCCAGAGCTCCTTAACCCACCAGAACAGTATTGTTAAACAATGGAGCGGCGGAGACGGCGGCTATTCGCCTGACACCAGTGCAGTTTTTGTTGATTACGGCAACCCGATGATGAGTTCTTTGTTTGAGATTGGAGGAGGGGAGAAAGTACATAGAGAATTCGTTTTAGGAGAAGGAGAAGCGTCTTCTTCTGTTGTTGTGAGTGGGTGCACATTCAACCCACTCTAATACTCGACAGACAACTTTCAATTGAGTGGTTTCTTCCAACTTCAAATGTTGGCTACTTTGGTGTGGAATGGATGTGTCACAATATTGAGATTATTTAACCATTTGTAATAATATTTAAACCATTCAAAATATATTGTTTTGGTTTGGAATAAGAATTGATATGTAATTGATATCTTATTATTCAATACAGAAAGCGATATACTATATTCAAGTATATACAAGATGAACGGTTCAACCACTTCGAAAAAGCAAACAGGTGAATCACATTATTCAAAAAAATAAAAAAAAAAAACCTAGTGAAATACACAATATTCCCAATAAGCATGGATTCGAAGGGTTTAGGAAGCTAAAGCAGCGGAAAAGCCTACAGAAGAGAGGCACTGGAAACAAATCAAGCGAACCCAAAGCTCCATCTGAGTTAGATAAATTTTCTGTTCCCTACTGGCAAATGCGAATATGACCCACAATAATTCACAATAAATCTCAACAATTCAAACAACATACGTTCTAGAAACCTGAAGAATGGCAATCTAGAGCGACGAAAACATGGAGGAGACCACACCCCTTTCATGACAAAATCCATTAAACAAACCCCTAGAAAATTTGAAAACGCTCTCTAGTCCTAAATGGATCAACAACTTCCATCTCCTTGTAGATTACATTCATCCACCTATACAAATCCTAAAAGACAAATCTACAATATCATAGTTTGAGTACACATTTCTCGTACAGCGCAATAATGTCCTTTTTATTGGGATTCTTCAACTTAAGCAGTTCGGCGCCAAAGTTATGTTTTGTGAGTTCTTGCTTAAGCTTCTGGATAGTGAACTTGGTATAATCTTCCTGGTTTGTTTGTTGGCTATGATTATCTTCCTCCCCCTTGAAAATTGATCCGCCGTCCTCTGGCTGAGTATACCTCATGGGGCTATTTGTGCTTCTAGCTCTTTTGTTTACTCTCAAAATTCTGTCACTTGTGTCCATGTCTTGGACAGATTCCATGCCCATCTCACCATCATCCACCCTTAAACGTTTCCCATGAGAAGCACTCTTCAGCTTACTATCCAATGCTGTCTCATTTAGACGAACTCTAGTCAACTCTTGCTGGAGTAGATCAATTTTTGAATGAGCAGATTGCAGCTGAAGTGAGAGAGCCTCTGCCCTGTTGTTGGCCTCTGCATGTGCAGAACGTTCTGAATCCAGAAGGCCCTGAAGAACTTGAACAGTGCTAGTACGCTGCTCATTGTTCGATTTCAATAGAGACTCTATTTCTTTTTCCCTTTCTTCAACTCTTGCTTCCAATGATGCAACTCTTGACATGGCTTCCATTTCTGACCCCCGAATTCGTTGCAAATCTTCCACCAAATCTTTCTTCTGCCTTTCCAGACTTTCAATTTGCCTCTCGGCCCTCTCTATTCGAGCCAACCGCTCTATTGCCAACCTCTGCATCTCATTCTTTTCCTCTTGAGCAGCACTAGCTTCATTTCTTGCTTTATCAGCAATTTCAGTAGCCTTTTTCACATCGTGTTCAGCAAGTCTACACCTTTCCTGAACTTCATCAAATCTTTGAAATTCAGAGAGGTACTTCTGATCCAAATGAATCTTTTCTTGTTGCAAAATCCTTGATTCTTTCTCAAATGATTGAGCCCTAGCATTTGCCGTTTCCAACCTCTCTTTTAGCTCTTTTATTTCATGCCTCAAAGAAATTACTTCCACATCATAACTCCCAATTTTCGACTCAGCAGCCTGCAGATGAAACATTTTATAATATAAAAATCATATGTTCTTTTCATCATCGAGATGCAAACTGATACCCACAAATTGTGGTATGGCACCATGTAAAAGATAAGAATCACGGAAAAAACCTTGAAACATATGTTGGATGGAACTGAAATTGTAGTAATAAATAACATGACGGTTTTATTTATTTAATTTTTTTTTTTTTTTGTTTTGCTAAAAATTAAATTTTGAATTCCAAACCATCTACTCTGTAGCCATGTCACAACTGACTTCAGTAAACAATAACCCTCCCCCTGACAGATCTAAGAAGTTTACCTTCAGCTCAAGCCTTAAAGTTGTCAAATGCTGCTCAGCTTGCTCAATTTTCGCTGCCTTGTCCTTCAATTCATCTTCCTGCGTCATAAAATCAATTTTCATAACTTTCCGTTATAGCACTCCATGTATTCACGTGTAGAGGTAGAATATGCTTGCAAGTGTTTGTTTGTTGTGTAAGTTGGGTGGGTGATGAAGATTTACCTTTTCAGCCAAAGTATTGGAGAAGTCTTTCCTCAAAGCATCTTCCCTAAGCCTTGTTTGCTTATTTGTGCGTTCTTCTGCAAGTGCAGCCTTCTCAAGAGCAGCTTTAGCATCTCTTAAAGCAATGTCAAATTTCCTCTTCCACTCTTCTGCCTCTTCTTGTGCAGACTGAGCTTGTTCCCGAGCAGCCGCTAGCCTCGCTTCAGCAGCACTAGTCCTCGACTTCAGAACAGAAATTTCTGAATTAGCTTGATCTTCCTCGGCTTTCAACTTAGACAAGACAGTTTCATATTTTCTTTTCCAATCCAATGATTCTTGCTTTGCTTGCTCCAATGTTTTCTTCAGGCTAGAACATCTCTCATCAAGAGAACTGCAACTGCCCTGTAGATTAATTATGCGGTTCATATAGTCATCAGCAAGCTTTTTCTTATCATTGATGGCATCCTCATATCGCTTCAGATATTCAGACTTGTACTTCTCACTGGCTTCCAGCTGCTTCTTAAGCAAATTCAGCTGGTCTTCAATTGAGCGACACTTCAAAGCGAGGGAATTCTTCTCTGATCCAACTTGATCTATAAGTCTCTTTATAAGGTCATGTACTGGACCATCCAAACTGCAAAGTTCCATGGTTTCAGTCACATTAACTCAAAAAGTCCAAAAGAGATATGAGGAACAAACTCTAATATAAACCTCTGGTGTAAAAATGTCGCCAACTTCTGCCACTTTCCCGGGCCGTGTGATGATGCTTCATATTCAGACAAAAGAGCACCAAGAACCTGCACAGACATGTTTCACAACCAAAAGTAAATGGGGAACTCAATTATTAGACAATAATTACACGAGAGAAGAGACCTTGACAAAGAAGAATGAAGGTTCAATAAAGGCAGTAGATGGGAATGTATTCAGCCGATTCAGTCACAGAAAAGAAACAGAGGGCAATAACTTATCAACTGCTATCAAGAATAATATAGCGAAACTAAGATTTCAATGTGCAAATCACAGTATATTTTCTAGAAAGAAAACCCAATTAATTTAATGCCCAGCATTGCTTCCAGACCACCAGAATCATCAACATAGTTATTCTTTACTTTATATTTTTCAATTAACCAGACTGCCCTTGTCAGAAACTGATGACAAAATAGTCCTTCAATCAAAATAGTGAAATAAAACCTAAATTACCTTCACAACATTATTTATATTTGCATCAGAAGCATGGCAAGCTGCTCTCAGCCTCTTCTCCATGCTTCGTATGGCATTTGTGCATTGCAAGTCTGCTTCTGTGTATGCAGTCCTCTTGTAATCCTGCATTAGACACGTCCAACTCGTGTAAATAAAACAAGAAGCAGAAAATAATCAATCACAAGCAACTTAAAGATAAAATGGAAATGTTGGGCCTTAAAGACACAAGTCATTGAATTAATCAGTCAGCAGTTTCTCCCAAAATTCCCTTACATCCTGTGTAAATCTCCAGACTCTCAAAAAAATTTCCATATAATAATGAAAAATCCAACTTCCTAAAGAGCCTTTCCTTTAACAAAAAGGCATACGCAAGACTGCCATCTCAAGTATCGAGTTGCCATTCCAACTTGAGCCACCTCAAACCAAATGTTAGAGGCATCACTTGATGCTTTTTCATCTAAGTTCGATTTCTACAAAGTCACATTTCCAATTGCCCCCCCCACAGTTAGTAAAAACATAGAATTAAAAGATTCACAATACTTATTACCTCAAATGCTTTTCTATAAAATTTTTCCAGTAGTCCCTCGTATTTTTTCCTCACTGGACCAGCACCTACAGCACCCGAATTAAATGCAACAAGTGATTTTTGAACGGCTGTTTCATGTGCTTCCCTCAATTCTGCCTGCAGGGAAAAAAATGTTATCTAGCAACATAAACATCTCTAATGGGAATGCAAGTTAGAATTTACACTTACTTCTTCTGGTGGCTTTGTCCGGTCAAAAGTAGACATATACACTTCAGCAGCATGATCATATGCCCTTCGACACTCAGCTTCTTCAACACTCTGCAAATTAATGATATGGATGAAAATTATCTTCTAATTCGATGCTATCCTCTTTCACTAAAAGAGGCAACAATTTCTCACATGGTCGCAGTCCACATAACAGATTGAATAAATCTCAATGAAAGGATAGAAAAGTGTGCATATATATAAAATTTCCCTCCAATTTTAGTTGTGCGCCCAAGTCAGCTGATAATAAGATATTAATACAAGACAACGCAGATACCCAAACATTCCTATTCAGAAATGAGAAAAAAAAAATACTTCTTACACATTTCCAGGAAGTGCTTTACACAAGAGTTCATAAGATATACTAGCCTGCCACGAGGAAGTTATTGTAGGCACTGCACCATGGTTTAGAGCATCAAGGTAAGACTCTGTAATGCCCACCAAAACTGGACCTGTCATAACAGTTGCTCCGACTTGCTTAGGCCTTGTCCTCTCAAAGACAAATTTAGTAAATGCATCAAGTCCAGACCTAAATTCAGGCCTTAGTTTATTTAACTGCATCAACACAGAATGTTTAGGATGTTCGGTTAAAGTTGGCTCCAAAAGAAAAATTATGCAAAACAATCCACAAGCTTAAGTTACTTACAGAAATTTGATCAAGTCTTTGGAGATCATTTTCATTATTTAGAGGACGCACAAGGGTAAAGCAGTCTCTATCTGGAAACAAAGCTCGAATGGAATCACGAATCTGTTGGTAAATGGATGAAAATACAAATTAGATTGTCAGCCCAAACAAACATATTAATTAATATACACTCAAATGGAACATCTAGGAACCAAGAAAGAAGTGTGTTTCCTAAACTTTATAAAACATGTGACGTCCATCTAGAACAGAAGAAACATATTCTCTCTCTAACATCAATATCTCCTACTAATCTGTAGTTGTTATAAGCATAAAAATGTATAAAAAAACAAGAAATGAAATTAAAGGAATAAA